ATAGTTAAGTTTTTTTTTTTTTTTTTTTTTTTTTTTTTTTTTAACGACTGAAGAGAGCAAAGGGCTTACTGTAATGGGGTAGCTGCCAGGACTTGTTTAAAAAGGGGGAAAAACCTTTTAGGCTTTGAGACCAAGGTAATTATTTAATGGTGTTATCTTGGGTTAGCTCTAATAGCGGTTTTGTATTTAAAGCGTATTTTAACATTTCCTGCTGGTGAAGGCCAGCCGTGGACAAGAAGGTATGCATTAGTGAAATGGTAGTGAGTTCAGGTCCCTGGAGAACAGCTACTGCTCCAGAACAGAGCGAGTCTGGTTTGCCGATACATCGTGTACACCCAAAGAGCTGGGGACAAGCATAATTGTAATTTATTTTAGCAGCCCTTAAGGACACAGAAGAAAGGAAGATTGAGAAATCTTTTTTGAGGCCCCTTAATGAGGAGGAGGCCAACAGAAGGCCACTAACGTATTAGATAAGAACACAGTTTCCAGGAAATGCTATCTAAATCATTTTTAAGAAGCAGGGAGTACCGGAGTCCTGGCCAACTTGCAGATTAAATACGCACATCTGAGCTCTTTCGTTCTGAGCCCTGCCTCACTATAGGTAAACGATGTTCTAGCTGCAACAAATCTACAAGGATAAGAGGAACAGCATGGGTGATGGGAGCAACGTTGTGGAGGCTCACAAACAGAGGATAGAGGCTGTTGGCAGTCAAGATATGACAGTTCTGGGGCCACAGGCAGGGTGAGGGGGAGCTAGGTCATACGATTACTGGACTGGTAAATTCAAAATCTGTAAAGTGGCCCGGTGGTACAGCAGACACTGAGAGAATAAGTATTCTGTTTTGTTTTTTTTTTAAGATTTATTTTTATTTGTGTGCGCGCGCGCCTGCACACACGTGAATGTTTATATGAGCATGCACCATATAAATTTATGCCACATGTGTAGGTGTCCACAGAAGCCAGAGAAGGTGTCGGATACCCTGGAGTTAGAGTTACCGTTGACCATAAGCTGCCTGATGGTGGTGCTGGGAACCAAACTGGGGTCCTCTGGGACAGCAGCCAGCACTCAGTCTTTAAGTCTCTATGGCCAGCGTTCTGATTCAAAGACCACCGCGAGGGTGGGGATGGAATTCAGTTGTTAGACTGCTTGCCTAGGGTCCACAAGGCCAAGGGTTAAATCTCCAGTGTTGCACTAACTAAGCACGGTAGCAAAATCCTCCCGTCCCAGCAAAAGTTCAAGGTCATTCTCATCTACACAATGAGTTTAAGACCAGCCTGGGATACAGGACCTCTTGTCTATAAGTAAATAGGTAAATAAATTAATGAATAAATAAATGTCATCAGGAAGGAAGACCCAGCATGCCTAGTAAAATTTAAGATGGCCTGCTGTAAATTTCCTCTTGTATGAGAGAAAAGCCAATCTTTGGTTCTGACCTGGCTTTCAACTGCTTAGACAAAGCCTGCCTGTGTTTTGGGGGTGTTATGGCCCAGTGTTTATGTGTTGAAGCTCCCCTCCCAACACACACAGCATAATGACTTTTCAGGAGGGTATGAGGGATGACTGAATCCCGAGGGAGCCTTCAGGCTGTCTATGTCATAACACACACACACACACACACACACACACACACACACACACACACGTATAAAACCAGGTGTGGCAGTCTGCTCCTGTAATCCCTGCACCTGAATCGTGGACAGGGGAGGAGCAAAAGAAGTTCAAGGTCACTCTCAGATATATATGGAGAGAGAGAGAGAGAGAGAGAGAGAGAGAGAGAGAGAGAGAGAGAGAGAGAGAGAGAGAGAGA